TCGTGAAGGGTCTACTACGAGTTTACGAGGAAACTGTTTACTATGCCCTTATGAGGAAAGTATACGTGGAGCTTACGAGGAAAAATTTTCCACGGCTTTACAAGGAAACCTTTCCTCGTAAATTAGCTAGGCCTTTACGAGGAAAATAGGCTTTACGATGAACGTCTTTCGACGAAATACGTTTCCTCGTTATTTCCTAGTAAAGGGCCATTTACTAGGAAATAACGAGGAAAACCCGTCCTAGTAAAGGACGTGTTTTCTTGTAGTGATTGTGCTTGAAATTGATTATAAGAATCTCTTTGTGGTATTCAATCGCGACGTTTAGTCTTCTGTCATTATCAATCGAAACTTTATGAGTTACAGATTCATCGTCTTTATTGCCTTCTTAAACCACTCGACTCACATCATTCACTATCTGTCATTCAATGCAAATTTATCTTCTCCAAGGTGGTGTATGTTCTCTTCCTATAAAAAGACTAGTTTCTGTCCTTTGAAAATCCTCTCATTCTGTAAAAACTACAAACAAATCTTATTCTCTGTCAATGGCTAACTTTTCTGTCCTTTTCGATTTTAAGTCAGGTAGATATTACTGTTGAGGTTAGGTTTCTCAGATCTGAGAGCCATGAATGTCAAAGAGGTGACGAGCTAATGGGGGTGGATATGCTCCTACTTGATACAAAGGTGATTCTGATCTTAAACTCATGTTTATAACGTTCAATTATTCCGGCATTTTTTTTGTAACAAAATTATTCCGGCGTTTAATCTCAACATTATCAAACTGTTAGATTTATATGTTTATCATGATTCATGTAGAAGGCGATGGTTGAATGATTAGAATAGTATCAAATTGTTAGATTTATATGCTTATTATTCATGTAAAAGGTGTTTGTTGGTTATGATTCCTTCGTATGTATTTCAGGCGGTAATGTGTCGTTGGTGAAAAATGCAGTGTGTCTTACATCCCTGAAATTAAAGACAATGATGTTCTGAATTTACAAAGGCTTCATGTCTGCAGACTAGGCAGCTTTACCTGTTGTTCACGACGCCAAAAACACAATCTTGAAAATTACAGAGGACAAGGCAGGGCAATCTTCTACTGGTAAGTGGAATATGTAGGACACTCATCAGTTCACCAGAGAACTTAGTCAAGTGTATAGTCGTCAGTTTATGAACCCTTAGAAGCATGTTCAGGGTTTTGTTAAGTTGTTACTTACTTTCTATCTGGAATCCTTTTCTTAACTAATATAGACACTGTGCAAATACTTTTATCACCGTAATGGCGTTGCTGACACTTATTTGATACAAAGGATAAGCAAGTTGGAAGAAGCTGCTCATCTATTAATTTTTTAAATTAGTTATCGCTAACCCCATTACTCTATAGTACAAGGTTGGCATTGTTATGTTCAACTCCTATAGGTGGGCTTGACAACAACTTTTTTTCCCTTGACAACAACTAACTTTGAGCTTCACATAGTACAGGAAAAGCCAAGAGACATTGAGGGTAAAGTTATTGGCTTTTTGCTTCAGTTTCACTCATTCCTTTATAGCATACTAGTATTTGCGCGTGTGCTATGCACGGGTCAATCGATTGTTTCAAAACTTCATTTGATCATTGTATAGTTTTCGATCAAATATTATATGAAGAGTGGGACATAATATAAGAAGTGATGTATTCAAACAAATCTATTGGAAGGGATTAAACAATCAACTATAAAATTATTAAAATATATATGTATATATATATATATATATATTAAAATAATAATAATCAACTTTAGTATTTTAATATATAGATTTATTTGTCTACAATTCAAGAATAACAAATACCTAATTTAATTTACTAAAAATTTTAATGTGATGCGTCAAATAAGTTTCTTGTGTTTAATTGTTTAATATTCTGCGGTTTAAAATAATGATTTCATTAACACTTCATTTTTAATTATGTAGTATATTTTCTTAAGAAACATATTTTCTTAAAAAGCAAATGTTTAAGCAAAATTAACCCACATTACTTATTTTGATTGTTTGTTGGATTTGAAGATTGGAATTCCTAAATTTCAATTGTTTTTATTAACAATATAAAATATTTCTTAAACTATTATTGAAGGCTTTCAAGAAAATTATTGTTTTATCTACACATATTGTAATGTTTTTAGATAGTCGTTAAAACTAATCAGTAAAAACCTGAAATTTCCAAAATTAGTTACAGAGAATTGTACAGAAAAAAAAAATTGAGTTAACATAGGATTTTGGCTAAGACACTTCTACAGCTTGATGCTCAACCAACCATCTAAAGCATTACAGATTTAAAGTCCTACTTTTTTTCTAAAGACTTAAAGTAAATAAAATTATTTTCATCTGAAATTCTAAATGGTCAAGAGGTTTTGCATCGTACCTTTCTAATCCATTCGTTGATGCCTCTTCCAAATCAGCATCAGCTTTGATGATTCTTCAAAATCAGCTTTGATTGTTTCACACGTTTCTGCATCTAATTAAAACAAATTTCAAAACTGAACAATACAAATTTTAATCCATATCTAATACTGACTTTGCAAAATAAGTTTTATATGAACTCCAAAATTACTGTATCATTATCAGTTCCTTCCCTACGCAATTTTAATCTCGACTGCAATATAAAAAACTTTTAAGTATTAATCCAGAAAATGAGTAATACAAATTTCGAACTGGTATAGAAAAAACTATCAAGATCAAAATTGAAAAATTGTAAGAGATGGAGGATAGCTTGTTTTGCTTCGTTAAGCAAATGAAGATTGTAAAAGAGATGTTTTTTTAAATAATGTTAAATTAATTCATCTCAAAAGAATTGGTATAAAGAATGTGATCTAAGGTTTGGTTTTATAAACCTACATGTGATAGAAGCTTGAAAACCATAGTGTTTTTTTTTTGAAAACCATAGTGTTTTTTTTTTTGAAAACCAAAGTATCCTTTTACTCTCGTGACTGAAACCACTTTGACATTCCTTTGTCAAAATGTGTACTCCACCTTCTGGTAAGCGAGATTCTGTTGTCCATGAATTGAATGAGTTGTGCCGGTGATTGAGGAGCTTCTCTGTGACGTCTTCCATTCCTCTCGCTTCAGAATGTAGTGCTGCTTTGAAGACTTAACGCAAAGCAACATAAATAACCCGTAAATAAATTTGTTAGTAAATTAAATTTCTGGTATAACTGAAAAACAGTTATTAAGAAAGAGGTGGAGATCGTAATAAATATTGTGTGTCTTCAATTGAGAAACAATTTCGAGAAAAACTGTATTAATGATGCATTTAATTTTTTTAATAAATTTTGAAGTACAAGCCATGTGGCAGAATTCTATTGACCATGTGACTTGTGCTTTAGTATATAAAGGATTACTTACAACTTATATAGAGTAAATTTATGTGGATCCTCAGGGGTTAACTATATAATATGTTGTTTTAGGTAATTAACCATGAAAAAATTTAGGAAACTTAATTTGACATTTTGTCCGGCTTTGAGGTCTTTTTTGCTGCTGTGTTAGCAAATGTAATTTGTTTGATTCTAATATGGTTTGTGTGTAAATGAGTTTCATATTGTTGGTTCGATGAAATGTTTCATGAGTTAATGGTTTTGAGCTCTTTTATAATTATTTTTAGATGACCGAAGTTACTAATCTTGCACACGTCTTGAATTTTTGCTATTAAATTTGACGTTTAATAAAAAAATATTTTCTGATTTGTAAGTCCCTACTGCATTAGGTACTGCATCATGAAAATACAAGAGTTTAATAATCGAAAGAATCACACGTAGTCATGGGCATTTTATCTGAAACCCAAAAACCGAATTGGAACCGAACTGAAAAAACCGACACCGAAACCGGATCAGATATTACAAAAACGGTTCCTATTTTTCTAAATTCGAAAAACCGAAAATAAACCGGAACCAAACCGAGAACCGAACGGGTATCCGAATATTGTAAATATAATAAAAATATTAATTATTTTTTAGTTTTAATATATATAAAATATAATTTTTAATAATAATATCCAAAAACCCGAATTACCCGAATATTTTCTAGGTTTAACTCAGTTTTTTGGTTCTTTTTTTGTTTTTGAGCTTTAAATCCGAATCAAACCCGAAATATTTCTAATTCGGTTCCACTTTGGGTTTTATAAAAAAATAGAAATCCGACCCGAACCCGATATTACCCGAACCAATCCCATCCAAAAAATTGCCGGTTCCCGAACGGTTCCTAAACACCCCAACCTGAATAATCCGAACTGATCCGAACCGAAAACCCGAATACCCAGCACTAATCACACGCTTAGTAGATACACTCTTAAAAGTATTTTATAAGTTCAGTGGTTGTATTTATCTACTATAATAAAAGGGCCAAATGAAGCCAAATGAGGCTGTCCACGTGTGCAGAAATAATTGGTCAATGAGGGTGTTGAATTTTGCCACATCAGCGTTGGAGTTGGGTTGTGTTTTTTTTTAAAAATTTTTTTTTGATCCGAGTTGGTTTATTTTTCGGCTCATCAAACCTGGTTCCTGAAACCAGCCGACGATGTTCTTCGTCGTTTTCGTCTCTTCCTCTTCGACGGTTTCAATTCTCTAACAAATTGTTCATCAATTCACACTCTAGACCATAACTGTGCAATGAATCCTCCAAAACTCTTCTTTATCACTTCGTTTCGCCTTTCTCCATCTGATAGTCTTTATAAATCTCTTTTTCCCAATTTTATTTTACCAATTGATGGCCACGGAATCATTCCATAAATGCTTCGAAATGGAGTTCATGTTAGAGTTTTTAGGCTTTACCGAAGCTGCAAAGAGAATTCAAACGTCCTCAGTCATGGTGATTACAAAAGCCCAGAGGATTATGATTAGCCAATGGTATGTTCCTTGGATTTTAATTTTTGGTATTCTTTATAGTTTATGTGGAAGTTTGAAGGGTATGTAGATCCTTCCGATCACCATAATTCTTTGTTTTGGTAAGTCTATTCTGAATCCATTTTTTTGCAGATGGTATCAGATCCATGCTACTTCCTCCATTTCATGGCTTTCTTCTCCTACCTTCCAATCCATAGCTCCGCCGCACCATACATTTCTCATCGACTCTTCGACAGAGAAGTTCAAGCCTTTCTAGCATTCCTCATGTTTTCAGCCATAAAGGTTTCAACTTTTCTCTTCACATTTGAATCGAATTCGCTTTAAAAAGTGTAATACTTGATCGATTGTTGATCATAGATGGTTAGGGAGGAAACGTGGGAGGCCTTCGTTGCAGATAGCTTACTCTATGCTAAGATCTTTCTCATTGCGGTTTCGTTGGTTATGGATTCTCGAGTTGCGATCTGGTTCTCTGTTATATTTGCAGGTGGGGTCTTTGTTGACGAATAATAAAAACATAACCTTTGATTTGAATTTTGATCTGAGGAGCCCTTTCAATCTTGCCAAGTTTTGATTTGAATGTTTCGTTTTTGCAGTTGTGTATCTTTTAGCTCAACAGCCAGCGTTTAGCAAGTTAGGTATGCTGAAGATGTCTCGAGTTCGTTGCTCTCTGTAATTTTTTTAGGGAAATCGGAAGTTGGATTTGCTTTAAACGTGTTTGCAGGAACTACGGGAAGCTACACCTATGCAGTTGGAGGATTTGCTATCAGATGGTACCACAACTAAATACTGGTGGGTATGTGTTAACTGGTTTTATCTTCTTCTACTATAGAATGTTGTTGTGATTTTAGATGATAGATTTGAAAAACCAGTAAGTAGTTTCAGGTAACTTGAATAATGTTCTTTCATAGAGCTTACAGATAGCTTCCACTACAATGGCAGCGTGTCAATGAACCTAAATAATTCACATACCCTCTCTTTATTGTCGTGACTAAGTTTTGCCTTTTTTCTTCTTCTATGATGCTCAGTTTATAAGAAATCAAATTGATCTGAAACATAACCAGTTAAACCTGGTTTTATGAATTGTAAAATTAGGTACTTTTATAATGAGAACCTCAAAGTAGTGTTAATGATATTCGAAGTATTTCAATTCAGAGGCATCACCGAATTCTTAAAGACAATATATAGTGGAACGTAAATTACACGACACATGTGCTTTTCGAGGTATATTATTTACATTTTAGACCAACATGTGGTTCCACCATATCACTTATACATTTTAGACCAACAAAAAAAAAAACAGAAATGACAAATCCAGGTTTTTATTTGCTTTACAATTATCATTCATCTTCTTGAAAATATCTAAATAATATACCTCGAAAAGCACATGTGTCGTGTAATACCACTTCTTGTCGTATCTAATGTAATCTTTTCTTTTAATCTTAACTTACGACTTACGTGAACATCAACTTCAACCCATCAAAAACGTACACAATTACATACATACACAAACTATATTAAAGAAACCCGACAACGCATACACAAATCAGAAGACTTGGATAAGCCAAGAAGCATTAAACAAACCCAATCACATACAGTTAAACGATGTACAACGACCAAAATAAAGACAACAAAAAAATGAAAAGAAGAAAAGGATAAATGAAAATGAAAAGAAAGAAAAAAGGAAAAATGAAAATTGACTTACGTCGAAGAATATTAGTGTGGAGAACGGGAAGCAAATACATTACATTCCTTATGCAGTAGCAATAGAATATCAAAATGAAAATCCAAAATTTGAGAAAAAACTTGATGATATATATACATCCAAAATACAATAATAAAGGAACCATCAACAAAATATAGAACAAAAATAAACAGTTTAAAAATATATATCAGATGCTACAAAATAACAAAAACTTACGATAAGTAGTTTCGCAAATCGTTCATACCAGATTAATATGAGAAATATAGAATGAGACAAACAACAGATAAACTCATAAACTTTAAAAATGTTCTTATTTTTAACAGACAAGTATATTTATAAAATAATTTTTAATATATAATATTTTGTCTATAAATTATTAACAAAAAATTACATTATACTAAGTATAAGCAATAGATAGCATATTGCATAATTGCATTGTAACTAACACGAAAAAGTTGAGAAAGATATATTTGTGAAGATGACAAAAAAGAGTTATGAAATCTCACAATTCATGATACATCTGAACAATAGGAATTAAGGCTAACGATATGTCAAAGTTACACGAACAACAACAATACTCTCAATCTAGAAAAATGTTCCTAAGACACCTCCCAATATTTTTGGGTGAAAATTACAGTAAAAAACTCTATAAATTAATGATGCTGAGACTTCAAAAAATTATTAATCAATAAGTTATTAATTCAAAAGAATTTTCTTTTTCAGATTTATATTTTTGAACAATACTTTTAGTGTATAAGATTGAAAAATAGTATTCTATTTGTGATATTATATATTGGTTAAAGTTTATAGATATAAATTTTAACTATTTTTATTATGTTAGTTATGTATTTTATATATGATGATTGCATATCGTAGAATGAAAAAATCACTTTTACATGTAGTTGATAAAATTATAACTAAATTAAAGATAATATTTATTTGGAAGAAAGATAAACAACAATAAGTTTTGTGTATATTATATAAAATTTACATATATGAAAATTATTAATTTATGATATAAATGTGACCATAAATTAATGTAAGTGTTTTCAAAATATTATTATCTTATTGAATTATGTCATATTTTACATCGATCTAATTTGGGATCAGAAAAAATATTAATTTATAGAGTTTCTAATTGTTAAGTTTCACACTGTAAGCACATATTTACCGAGTAATTTCTCAAATTTATTTTAAGGGAAAAACATAAATATAAATAAATTATTTTTAAAACATGTAAGGTAAAAATACGCATTATACAAACAATCTATATCCAAAATCCATAAACTAAATTAAAAGTTGTAATAAGCTTACTTATAAACATGCATATTCCAAAAATAAAATTCTACAAAAATAGTCACCTAGAATGAAGCTTTCATATTAACAAATTATCATGTTAACATTTATACCTCTCTCTGTATGGGATTAAGAAGCGGATAATTTCAAACAACTAATGGCATTAAAGAACGAAAGTTTTGACGTTGACTGTTCACTCGGCTAATCAAAATATAACATGCGATAACAAAGAAATTCATATTGGTAACAAACATTAATGTAAAAATATATAAAGGTTCATTAAAATAAAAGTTCAAGTTAAGTTACCACATACAATATTTTTAAAGTTATAGTTACTCCAATAGCAATAACAAAAATGAATTATGCATTGGGTTGTTAGGAGTTTGAGAGGAAAAACACTAGATAAATTAAAATATAAATATAAAATACTCATATACCTTCAAATAACAAATAGCCCTCAAACCATCATTTTTCTCTTTATGATGTTATGCATACTGAATTTTTTGGATTGCTATATGTACATATTATTTCCAAAAAGTCTTTATTTTACAATTTAAAAATAATAAAAAGATAATAATAAAAATTCACATTGGACCGAAAATCTATAAAATGGAAACAACCCCATAAATACAAAGATATCAAAACAAGACAAATAATAATGCATATAATTTTTTTTAAAATATATATATATAGCACACAATCCGCGCGTAGCGCGGAGAAAATATCTAGTAACTATAAAAACTTTAGCAGTAGCTTCATTAATTAATAAGTATCTCATTATATGCATCTCCGTTTAGCTCATGAGTGACATCGAATGGAGGAAAGTTTCCGAAACCGAACCGAACCGAACCGAACCGAACCAAACCGTCAGTTTTCGGTTAACCAAAATTTTTAAAAAAATTCTAAAATAAACCGAATGAAATTTCGGTTCGGTTCGGTTATCGGTTTATTTTGGTTTTCAATTTTATTTCCGAAATAACCGAATTTTTAAGTTTTCGGTTAACTTTTGTATAATTTTTCCAAAATATTCGGATATTTTCGGTTAAATTCGGTTATTTCGGTTAAATTCAGTTATTTCCGGGATATTCGGTTATTTTTGGTTCGGTTTTTCGGTTATTTTCGGATATTTTCGGTTTTTAACATTTTTAATTTTTTTTTGAAATCGAAAACCGAACCGAACCGAAAACCAAATTAATTTTTAAAACATACCGAACTGAACCGAAATGAAAACCGAACCGAACCGAAAACCGAAAAAACCGGTTCAGTCCGGTTCGGCCCATTCGTTCGGACAAAAATCCCAGGCCTAGAGGAAAGTATCCACCAAAGTTCATGAGGCATTTGACGGTTCATTGGGATGGAGTGAAAGATTTTCTATTTATGCAATCTTATCTCACATAAACCCTGCTTCGGTTAAATAGCCTTCATCTGAAAAGACTGCTATGGCATTTTTAAAAAAAAAAAGCATAGACGTGATATATTTTGAACCATTGGTATTTTGGTTGTTTTATTTGACTGTTTGTTGAGTTTTACTTTTTATTTATTTTCTAAAATTATTTTTTTTCCAATTGATGATAAAATCACACCAAAATTTTCATTATAATTTAAGCTATTTTTATATTATTCATTTATTTATCCGTCCGTAGGGCGGGTTTTGCCTTAGTAAATACATGTGTGGGAACCAAAATTCGCACTGTTGATTTTCGTAAATTTAGGAACGTCAAGTTAACCTAACTTTCTCAAGAGGTCCCGAATATCTGCTAAGCACGCGCCAATCAATCAAAGGTACGAAATAAACAGATGAAAAATATGAGAATCGAAGAAGATAGGAAAGAGATTTCTTATTCTGAATTAGCGTAAGAACGGTACAACGAGGTAAAGCTATGGCCACAAGAGCTGATGGAAAGTTCCCTAGTTTTAGAAACCTAAGACTAAAACCATAGTTGAGACGCAGCTCGATAACAAAAACGGAAAGTTGCCTATTTGTCCTAAGTGCTAAGTTTTTCTGTGTGATGAAAGCTCTGAGTTCGTCTCTCCTTGGTTTCGACCTTGTGCTTATATACTCCTTCTCTAGGCGGTTTAGTCATTCCTTTTTGATGTCTGTTCAAATGTTTATCCTAAGGAGCAACTTACTCTTTCAAATAAGAGATCTATACAATATTTAGGGTATGGAATCCACAAAGAGCTAGGAAACCTATTAAATATAGTCAAACAATAATCTAGGCGAATATAAATAGCAAAAACAGTAAACAGGTAAACATGAAATATTCCAATCAAGCAAGACAATTACTTAATCGAAAATTGAAATAAAGGTTCTTGAAACTAAAATGGAAAAGATACTAGGCTTAGGGTTTTTATTCAGGTATTGGGATTATAATCCTATATGAGCTATTCAGTTGCTTGCAAGATACTATAGAGCATTAACTATCTTAATTAACGAATTCATTTAAACTATCATTAAAATAAATAAGTCTAATGACCTGCTGGTCGTACTTGACAGTGTTGAGCGATTATTTAGTAGGAACATCGGTCGATACACTAAACTCATCATCGATTGATTTCTTGTCGAAATATCGATCGATGAGTCCAGTCAAGCAATACACGCAAGTTAACATAAACTCACTAAAAACTTCTAGATCAAATTATCACTGTATTTCTAGCAAACTTAGCTTAATAAGGATGTGTTCAGGACTATCAGAATTGCTTAAATGTCTCTCATCCAACCTAAGTAATCCAATATTCAATGTTTCTAGTTAGCTACTCTAGAACCATGAGCGTTAGGAACATC